TTTTTCCTAGCTGAGGGTCTGGAAGCAAATTGCCCATCTCCCCACCAGCATTATTCCTGTTTTCCTCTGCTGAGGCGGATGGAACACATCCAGGATGGATGAAACCCTTTGATAGTAGTAAACCACCCAAACAGCAGCTCTTGTGTTTACAAGTTGATCCCTCAAATGCGGGATGCAGCCAACAAACCCAGTGTCCAGGTCCTTTGGAGTTGGCTTATCCCAACATTTGACCATTCCCTTTGGGAATTGTTGGGTGACACAACATTTGGGTGATATTCCCCTTTGGGAATTGGGGTGGGAGTGCTTGAACGGGGAGCAGCTGTAGGTTTAGGGTTGAGAACACTAGGTGTGTCATTCCGGATAGGTGTGAGTAGATATACCTTGGAACTGGTATATTCCAGGGTGGGATTTTGGGATGGGCTGGCTGACTCTGTTGTCTCTCTGCCCACTCATGCTGCAGAGGCCATCAACTGCTTAAACGCAGCTATCGATATCTACACTGACATGGTAAGGCACCTCGCGCACACAGAATGCCGGGCGGGTATCCTGCATCCCAAATCCCGTCCAACTTTCCCATCCCTTCCCTTCCCTAGGGGCGGTTCACCATTGCTGCCAAGCACCACATCACCATCGCTGAGATCTATGAGGCTGAGCTGGTGGACATTGAAAAGGTGAGGATGTGTTGGTGTCATCATCATTTCTATGCCCTAGAAGGATTATTAATTCCCAAAAATCCCATTATCCAGCACTGATATTCCTTGCACCCAACTGTGACTTGGAGTTAGTGGTTTTCCTAGCAGAGACTTTCCTGGAGCAATCTCAAGCCTCCCCTGTGTTCCTGTGCCGAGCAGCAGCATGGCAGAACTCCCTGATGAAAATCCATGGAGCTTCCCATTGGAGAAGTGCTTTGGGAATGTTGTGAAGCACTTTTATTGCTATTTTTTGTCAGAACTGACTTCCTCATTCCCATAACCAAGCTTGCTGAGAAATCCCACTATGGATCTCCTGCTTGGAATTCTGCAGGGCACAAATTGATGGGTTCGAGTGTTATTTTCTAGGCAATGATTAGCTCCCTTGGCTCTGCTCCATTGGATCCCATCTATATCCATGAATTCATCCGTGCTGCCTCTCCAGGCTGTTCCCTGGGTTGATTTATCTCAGGATTATTTATCCCAGTGTTTCTGTCCCCAGGCCATCGCACACTATGAGCAGGCTGCGGATTACTACAAAGGAGAGGAATCCAACAGGCAAGTGGTTGGATCAGTGGGAATGGCTGGAGACAGGGATCTATCCTAGGGGCTCCTAGAACCAAGATGGGTTTAATTTGGGCTGTTGGGAAGATAATTCCCCTAATTTGCAGCATTTAGTTCCTAGTACTCTCTGCCTGCAGGGGTGAGGGTGGTGCTGGGGCTTGGGCTGGAATATTCCCAGGAAAGTGATTTTTGGGATGTGGATTGCAGCTCAGCCAACAAGTGTCTGCTGAAGGTGGCTGCCTATGCTGCCCAGCTGGAGCAGTACCAGAAGGCCATCGAGATCTACGAGCAGGTGAGGAGCAGCTGCTTCATCCCATGGGATCAAAACCTTTTCCCAAGGTCCGTGGGTTGGGCTTGGGGGCTTAGAGTCATGGAGTTGTTTAGGTTGGGAATTACAGAATCTAGCTGCTCCCCAGCATGGCCACAAGGCTGTCCCCAAGTGCCACATCCAGTATTTTCACTGTTGTTTCTGGCTAAAAGGTGGGAGAAGGCATCCAGAATTCCACTTTGGATTATATTTACAACTACATTTGGCAGAGAATTTCGCCCCCAGATTTATCAGCTGTGGCTTGGTGTGGGATATTTACCTAGGAATACCCTCAGTGCTGCTTTTGTGCTTCCAGAGGGTTAATGTTGGAGCAGGTTTTCCTCTTTGCTTATTGTCCAGGACCTACCTGGTGCCCCAGGAAGGATCTGTGTTCCCTTGGGATGAGTTAGAAACCTCTCTGCTTCCCAGTAGCTTTTTGCACAGGCACTGGAATTTTTTCCATGCTCTTTATTCTCAGCCATGTGGCTCCATGTGTGATTTTAATGAGCTGCCCTGGGTTTAATCCAAGATTTCCTTTCCCAGCTTTTCCTTTTGCCATGTGTTTTTTGTCTAGGTGGGAACAAACACGATGGATAACCCTTTGCTCAAGTACAGTGCTAAGGAGTATTTCTTCAAAGCTGCTCTGTGCCACTTCATCGTGGATGAGCTGAATGCCAAGGTCAGTTATCCCAGAATTCTTGATCCCTCCTCAGAGCCTTGGCTGCCTGGGAGAAGATCAGTGGACTCACAGCCCTTATCCCAAATTTCGTGATCCCTCTTCATCAGGGATTTGCACATCTGTCACAGAATCTTGACATGCCAGAGTGTCCCATTGGATTTCTGGTGAAAGTTTGAGGGTGGGAAGGCAAAGCCTGAAAAAACCCCCCAGGAATTGCATGTCAAGTATTCCCTTCTCTCTTCCAGCTTGCACTTGAGAAGTATGAAGAAATGTTCCCTGCGTTCACAGATTCCCGGGAATGCAAACTATTGAAAGTGAGTAAAAACCAGTGGTGAAGTCATAGTCTTTGGTGCTTTTCCATGGATTTTCTCATTTATCCCAATATTTTAGAGGACTCTGGCTTTGGCCCAGCCCTGTGGTTTGGTGGGACACATGGACTCCCTGGGATGAGATGCCAGAGTGGGAACACACACTAACAGACTATTTCCTAATTTGTCCTGGTGTTTTCCTAGAAACTGCTGGAAGCCCATGAGGAGCAGAACAGTGAGGCCTACACTGAGGCAGTAAGTAGTCCTGGATTTCCTTGGGAATGGTGGCTTGTTCTTCCTCTTTTCTGGGATGTGTGTGCCCTGGTCAAGGTTGGAGAACTTGTACAGAAGGACCAGGAACAGAGCCAGCTGGGGCTCCAGCAAGGCCTGCTTTAAAATTCACGTTTTTTCATGAAGAGTTAAGTGAAGATCCCACCTGGGTTTGCTCCAGCTCCTTTGGTGTTTGACAAGGGCTGAAAGTGCTCTGTATGGGTTTGGAGAGACATTTTCCTGTGCCTTTCACCTTCCCTACCTTTTCCCCTTTCCCCTTCCCCTTTTCTGTCCATATATGTTACCCTCTCCTTTTGTTCCCTTTCCCTTCTTCCCAGAAAAGCACCAGCTCTAACTCTGCCTCTCCACCACCACAGACACCAGCTTTGTGTCCCCATTCCTTTTCCCCTCTCCATGCAGGTGAAGGAGTTCGACTCTATCTCCCGCCTGGACCAGTGGCTCACCACGATGCTGCTGCGCATCAAGAAGACCATCCAGGGCGAAGGGGATGGAGACCTCAAGTGACCTCTTCCCGTGTCCAGCCGAGGACTGTTGTGGGATACCTGATTCCATCCATCCCTCGCTTTATTCCGTTGCTTCCCACTCCCCGCGCTCCGTGTGTTTCTTTAGCCCCCTGCTCCCTCTGGTGGCTCCGGGCGGCACCGGCGGATCCCAGGTGGGAGAAGCCCTTTGGGTGGAATTCCTCCTCGGCTTTGCTCCTTGCAGCTCGCCGTTTTCCTGCTCTTCTGTCAAATCCAGCATGTAAATATTTCGTCCAGGCCAGCACAGTACAAATATTGCTTCCAGCCCGTGGTGGTGTTCCCATTTCCCGGTTTTCAGTGGCTCTGTTGGATACACTTGGATTTGGGGCTTTTTTTTTAAGGTATTGAGTTTTTTTTCCAGGTGCTAGTGAAAGGCTTTGTGGGCACATCCCACCACCCCCTGCCAGGCTGCCCACTAGGGCTCATGGCATTCCAAGACTTGGGAATGCCGGGATTGGTGTCAGCCCTCCCCTTAGTTCATGGTTGTTTTTATCTCAGCTCTGTATCCAATAGATAGGTTCTTCCTGATTTTTCCACTTTGGTTTGTGGTGCATCCCATCCCTCCTCTTCCACAATAATAGATATATTTTTCTACCTTTCCCTCTGCTGGGAATGATCCAGTGGTGGCTGAGACTTGACACCCCACAGGAGCCTTGCTGAAGGTGTCTGGGTGACAGGTGCCTGGTTTGCTTTGGAAAGATGAAGAGGTTGAAAAATTCCTGCAGGAATTGGAGAGATTATTTTAAACCAGGTGGATAATGTAAGCATCAAGCTGCCTGTTTTTTTATGGCTGTATCAGGAGCTTGTGGGATTTGTCACTGAGTTTTCTCTGCAGAGAGGGAAAAAGTCATTAATTAATGTCCATTTTGGTGGTCCCAGGTAGCTTCACCCCTTGTTTCTCTGGGAAAAGTGGGAATTTCGGGGCTTTGAGTGTTGGTTTGGTTGGAATGTTGCTTGTTGGGCTGAAGGGTGTTGGTCTCCAAAGTGGTCCTTGACCTCTACCCTGAGCTTCTGCAAACCAAAAAACATGAATACATGCCAAATTATTACTCGTGTGTTGTTTTCCTGACCCTCCTGATCACTTATTTTCCGTAGATTCTTGTGTACATCCCAGCTGGATGGAACAGACCAGACTTAGGATGCAGGGAGTGTGGTAGGCGGGTGCTCTTCCAGCCCAAGTGGGATCAGCTGCAGGCTTGGAACCACTTGTAGTTAATTTCCTCACACCCTTAGCCATGGCTTTGTGTTGTGTCCAAGCACTTTTGGAGCAGGGATGAGGGGAAGCTCCATTGTTCCTGGTGTCCCAACGTGGTTTTCAGGCCTTGTTTGGTTCACTCTCCCGTTATCAGCGTTGAGCAGATGAGTTGTACCCACAGTTCTGTTCCTCCCATGAACTACAAGTGTTAGTAGTGTGTGAGTAGGCTGCAGCATGTCCCCGGTGTATCCATGGAGTTGTGCCAGTTCCCAGGTGACAACCTGCCACTCTGCTGTGTCCTCCCACCACATCCCTCCTTGGAAAACTTATAATGAAATGGCCTTAGCAGGAATCTCATGTTTGTGTGGATATGTACATGAATAAAGTGAAAATCATGGATGGAAGGAGTCTTCAGTGTTTCCTTCAATTCCTGTTGGGAATCCAGACTGGGTTGGGTTGGGATGGGATGGAACTTAAAGCTCATCTAGTCCCATGGGCTGGGACACCTTCTATTAGTCCAGGTTGCTCCAAGCCTCATCCAGCCTGGCCTGGAACACTTCCAGGGATGGAGAATCCACCTGTGCCAGTGCCTCACCACCCTCCCAGGGAGGAATTTCTTCCCAATATCCCATCTAAATTTCCCCTCTGTCAGTTTGCACCCATTCCCCCTTATCCTGTCACTACAATACCTGGTGAAGATTCCCTTTCCAGCTTCCCTCAGATCCTGGAAGGCTTGCTCTGAGGTCTCCATAGAACCTCCTCCAGGCTGAACATTCCCAGCCTGTCACTGTCCCAGAATGTCACATCCCATAGGATCATTGAGTCAGTCAGTCTCAATATCTCCATATTTTAATAAGAACAGTTCAAAGGAATAACTCAATTCCATTCATTCCCAGAGTACAAAAGCTTTCCAGGCTCCAGGTCCCAACACTCGTGCTTTAAATATATCTACAATCTCTTACCATGGGTCACAGGGAATAACTGAGCTTCCCCAGGAATAAATATTTCAAATATAACCTCTTGGAAATGTTCTCTTTTTAAAAATTCCCTTTCTCTCCCTTAGAATTCCATGACAATACCTCCCACATCCCTCCAGGATCCAAAAAAGCTCTGTGGCACAGGGTTTTAGTGCTGGACTACAGGCCCTCACCAGGCTGCATTTGTGCTTACCTTTCCCAAAGTTTAGCTCACAGTTTCAGCTGAGAAACTTTCCATGGAAATACTACAGTAACAGGCAGAAAAACAGGAAAATTCACTGGAGCAGCTGCAAGTTTTTACATGGTGGGACGCCAATCCCAAGTTTTGAAGCATTAAACCACAGCAGTGAGTTGCTGTTCCCCAAAAAATGTCATTCCAGTTGGATGACAACTTCCCTGCCCAGAGAAAACACTCCAAATCCTATTCCACTAAAGTAGAGCAGGAAGTGCTGATCAAGAAAAGCCCTGGAATAGAACCTTTTCCAGCATGGCTCAAGTACTACTCTTCCCAGAAATTTTTCCAAGGGATGATTTTTAAGTGCCCAATTCCATGTGAGCTGGAGCAGCTGGAACGTGAAGATCAATGGAATGCAAGTCCCAAACTGCTCTACGTTTCATGGAAATGGAAAAATAAGGACCAGCACTTGGCTCTCACCTGCCCATTTTGCTACTTAGAGACTCAAAACTCCTGGAATGAAGCTCCAAAGTTCCCACTTGTATTCGCAAAGAGTGAGCTGGCTCACTGTCAGGATCTTTGACAAAAGCAGAGATAAACCAAGGTTTCCTGAAAAGCAATTTTCCTGGATGAATTTCCACTGGGGAAAATGTGATGACTGTCATGGAGAAACTCAACTTTGGTTCTCCTGATTGTCCATGTGGCATCAAATTCCCTGGAAGTTCAACCTGCACCACCTTTATAACCCACTGGAATCAGGTCTGTGGTTCTCCTGCAGTCAAGGCCAGGCTGAACTACTCCCTCTATTCCCAGGCAATCAACTTCCAGAGACTCCTGCTTCCACCCTGCTGTGGTATCACCCAGTCCTACCTTCAGGAGGTGGAGCTGGGGAATGGATTTCCAAAGGAATTCTCAAAATCCATTCTTTCCCACCTGCTTCCCACTACTAGGCAAAGGACTATACAAGGGGGGCAGCTTAAGGACAGGGAATCCCAAGTTATTCCATGTTCACCAGAGTGTGAAGCTGTGGCTGCACAGAGTCTGTCTGCGCGTGAAGCACCGTCAGCTCACTCAAGCTGGAGACCATCAGTGCTTCCTGTGGTCCTGGTGCTCCAGAGGACTTACAGTCCGTGCTTCCATGGACAGCTGGCAGGCTCTGGTAGTGGCTGTTGTCCGGGAAGGACAGCAGCTTCTCTGGGATTTTAGGTGATACATCGTATTCTTCGTCGGGAAGTTCTGTCTTGTGGCCTTCGTCGCTCTTTGATGCTCCCTCGACGATGACAAGGAAGGACTTCCAGGGGGTGTTTTTATCATGGATCTGGAATAAATAGGCAGAGAACATTGGATGACATGGAAAAGCTTGGATCCAGCTCATAGCCGATACTGGTAAAAAAGGTCTCTTTTAGAACCATGGAATGGTTTGGGTTGGAAGATCATCCAGTTCCATCCCATTCCATGGCCAGGAACACCTTCCACTAAGCCCAGGGTTGATCCAAGCCCCATCCAACCTGGCCTTGAACACTTCCAAGGACAAAGCATCCCCAAATTCTCTGTGCCAGTGAATCACCACCCTCACAGAGAAGAGCTCCTTCCCAATATGCCATTGAACCCTTCCCTCTGCCAGTTTAACCCATTCCCCTTTATCCTGGAAGTCCCCTGAGACCTGACAGAGCTGCCCTGTCAGTCCATGGCCATGGAATGTGTCTACTGGGCTAGGAGGCAGAGGGATGTGAGGTCCATACCGAGGTGTGCCTCCGGAGGGTGGATTTGTCTGTGAAGGTCCTCCCACAGGCATTGCACATGAAGGGCTTCTCCCCAGTGTGGATCCGGTGGTGTCGCTGGAGCGCGTTCAGCTGGGTAAACTGCTTCCCACACTGGTCACAGCAGTAGGGTCGCTCTCCTAGATGCACAGCATGGCATTAAAGGGCTGGGATCAGGGGATAAGACTGCTGCTGTCCCTTGGGAATGCCAAGGAACTGCTGGATGCCAGGAAATGATCAGGTGCACACAACATTGTGTTGTTACGAGATGTTGGCACAGTTCCCATGGTTGGGTCAATTTTGACCCATCTCAAGGAATTACGTACTTGGCAGAGCAAGATCATTACACCCTCCCTATTTTTCAATAGATTTTCCATTAGAGACTCCAGTCCTGCCTGGAATCAAAATTTTCCTCTTTCCAAGGTATATCCTGCGAGCAAGAATACCAGAGCTGCCCCCAACCAAGGGATTCTCTCCAAATACACCAAAAACTCTCTTGTGGGAAACAAATCCCATTTTCCTCCTTCCCATACTAAAGCAGGAGCTAAACCAGAGTTCTCAGGCACTAATAATCCTGGCAGGTTATTAACAGTATCTCCACAGTCCTTGGAAATATTCCGGGAATTACTGTCACTCAGGAAGGAGCAGAAGGAGTAATGGGAGAAGGCAAAGAACAGGATACATCAGGAATCAAATTATGTGCCTAGGTTTGGAATTCAAGCCTTGGGAAAGCCTGGCTGAAAAATTCCTTGTTGGAATATAGCAAAGCTGAGGTGGACAGTGTGGTCTGTGCCAAATAAAAGGAGCATGTCCTACCTGTGTGAACTTTGATGTGCTGGTACAGAGAATTCCTCTGGGCAAATGTCCTGAAGCAAACCTCACACTTGAAGGGTTTGGATCCCGTGTGGATTCGGTTGTGGTGTTTCAAGTACTCCTTAGAGGCAAAGCTCTTCCCACAGGTTTCACACATAAAAGGCCTTTCCCCTATAGCAAGGGGGGGGGGAAAGGACAGTTAAGCCAACAGGGCTTTGGGAATGCTCTTAAACATCCCACTCAAACCTGAGTGCTCCTACAGAGCATATCCTCACAGCAGGGTCTGAGGGGACCTGACAGATCACCTAGTCCCACCTCCTGCCATGGGCAGGGACACCTTCCACTAGACCAGGTTGCTCCAAGATCTATCCAGCTTGGCCCCGAACACTTCCAGGGATGGGATAGCCACAGCTTCTCTGGGAAAACTGTGCCAGTGCCTCACCACCCTCATTACAAAACAATTCCTTATTTAAATCAACAGTCCTTCAGCTTAAAACAGAATATTTGGAGTTACAGGATAGCCTTAGGAACCTTTCTGAGGAAAATCACATCTAGAGATGACAATATCACATTTTATATTAAAAAAACCCCCCACAACAACAAAAACAGAAGTAAAAAAAAGAAAAGAAAAGAAAAAAGGCAAAAAAAGGCCAATAAAGGCAAAGAAGATGTCCTGGTTTCCAGGCCTGGTCCGACACGGGCGACACTGCGGCAGCGCAAGCCTTACCTGTGTGGCAGCGTTTGTGATAGATAAGCATGTGGTTCTGAGTGAACCTGGCCCCACACTCATCACAGACAAAGGGCTTTTCCCCAGTGTGGATTCTGAAAGGAGAAAGGAATGTTCAAACAGGAGGCTGAGATCTTCCCTCTCTGCAGCACGAGCCGAACTGGGGTCACTCTGGGGCTGCTCACACACAAAAACCCCTTCAGTGGGGCCAAATCCTGTGCTGTGCTGGTTGTTTGCTAAAACAAAGTCCAGATCCAGGCATTTCTTTAGGGTAAACCCAATTTTTTTAAGGTAAATTAGAGTAAAGCTCAGAAAATTTGCATCCAGGCTGGAAGAACAAAGGGCCCATTCTTTGGGGTCTGAGGCAAAGCATGCAGCAGGGTTTTGGGATAGTGCTGTGGGAATGCAGAGATTTCATACTGGTACACAGCCACAGATGTCAAAATATATCCCAACATATATTATATATCAAATATACCCCAAAAAGATTAGAAATCCCCATCACAGGCTGTCAGGACACCTAAGTTAGGACAGCACCGAGTTTTCAGCACTCAGCATTTCCTGACTAGTCTTAATGGGACACAATGGAGAAGAAATTCCACTCATGGCCTAAAAATTAAGTTTTAAGCAGCACAAAGTGGTTCCTTGGGTTGGGAAAGGGCAAGGCAACTGAGAAAATAACTTAAACTCCTCAGAGATTATTTTTGCTGTGGTAAAAATGTCTCTGCCACAAGACACATAAAATACCTTGATAAAATTAGGTTCAGTCTCTCAGAGATGACATTTCTGTCCTCATAAAAACACCTCTGCCCTGAGACAGGTAAAATAACTGATAAAATCAAGGTAAAGTCCTTCAGAGATGATTTTTACCCTGAGACATATAAAACCTGATAAAATCAGGCTAAACTCCTCAGAGATGGTTTTTGCCCTGACAAAAATGTCTCTGCCAATGGACCGGTAAAATAACTGACAAAATCAGCTTAAACCCCTCAGATATGATTTTTGCCCTGATATGAACATCTCTGTGCCTTGATAAAAACATCTGAGGCAGATAAAGTAAATGATAAAATGAAGCTCAAGCCCTGCAGAGATCATATTTTTGTCCTGACAAAAATGTCTCTGCCCTGAGGCAGGTAAAATAACTGATAAAAATCAGTTAAATTATTTTTAAAAAATCAGTTACATTATTAAAATCAGGTTAAACCCCTCAGGGATGATTTTTGCCATGATAAAAATACCCTGAGACAGATAAAATAACTGGTAAAATCAGGTTAAACACCTCAGAGATGATTTTTGCCCTGACAAAAAAAGGTCTGTGTGGGTGACATCAGCAACCTGTCAGTTTGTAGTCCCAGATCAGTTGTTTTCCCTGCTTAGCCCCCAAAATCTGGTGTTCTTCCATTTAAAACACTGCCAAATCTTTCCCAAGTATTTCCACACTTGCTGCACAGCGTTATTGTAGTGACTACAAAGAGGCAGCAAATTAGCTGAGGTAATTACAGCCCTAATTTACTCCCCTGGGAGAAGGGAACAGCAGCAGGCCTAGAACCACGCGACTCTACTTGAGGAAACGACTCCCTAATCCTGAAAAGCACAGGGATAAACGGGAAATAGGGACACATTTTACACCCCCACTTCCCTTGAAGGCTTCCAGGGGATTGTGCTTCTCCCCCCACAATCCCCCAAGGCCCGGGTGAGTCTGTCCATACCTCATGTGTGTTTTAAGTGCAGAAGGCTGAGAAAACTTAGCCTCACACTCTGTGCACCCATAAGGCTTGTCGCCTGTGTGCGTCCTTTCATGGAGCCTCAGGGCAGTTTTGGAGCTCAACCCCTTTCCACACTGCTGGCACTGATGTCGCTCCCCACCACCCTCATGAACCTGGAGAATGTGCCTCTTGACGTCCTTCTTCCTCTTGAACTTCTTACCGCAGAGCTCACAGGGGAAGTGCCGCTCGCTGCTGTGCACGTGCCTCTGGTGGCTTTTGAGGTTGCAGCGGTTGGCAAAGGTCTGGCTGCAGGTCTCACACCGGTACACCACCTCGGCCGCGACGCCGTGGCTCTGCCTGATGTGCTTCAGGAAGCTCTTCTCGTACAGGAACTCCTTCTGGCACGTGCTGCACTTGAAGCTGCTGCCACGCTTCTTTTTGTCCTCCTTGGGCCTCTCCTGGGTTTCCTCAGAGTTGCTGTCGCACTCCTCACTGTCAGGTTTGACATAATTCTCCTCTCTCTCCTCATCCTGAGGGTATTTCTCTTCAGCACCAGCCTCCATGTCCTTCTGCTGCTCCCTCAGCCTCCTGGTGTACTTCTTCTTTGGGATCTCCACGAACACCTTCCTCCCGGCCAACCTCCCGCTCGCCCTCCTGATTTTGGCGTAAGGAGGCTTCAGCATGTCCTTCTTTTTGTCCGCTTTCTCCTTTGGTTTGGCAGCTGGCACCTCAGGGGACATCCCATTGCTGGGCCTGGCAGCCTCAGGAGGATCCTCCTCAGCTCCAGCTGCTTTGGAGTCAGGCATGATGCTTGGCGGGGCAGCGCTGTCTTCCTCGGAGCTCTGTGACTCTGAGAAGTTCTGCAGCTCCAACAGCACTGATTCCAGCATCTGCTTCTTCAGCTGGAAGCAGGTCTCAGAGAGGTCCAGGCACTTCAGCTTCTCAGCTATCTCCAGCATCCGCTGCACCCTGTCCTCCTCCACCTCCACTTTGGCAGTGTAGACAAACTCCAGGAATGAGGCAAAATCAGCCACCTGAACCTCGTTGAGGAACACGTTGGTCCTGGGGCCATCCATGCCCTCCTCTTTGAGGAACACCTCCTTGAAAAACTTGCTGGTTGCAGCCAACACAGCTTTGTGAGCCACAAACTCTGCCCTGACCCCCTGGTACTCCACACTGACCGTCACATCACAGAGGTGGCCCAGGAGCCGCAGCTGGTGCAT